AGCGACACAGACACCAATATGGGGAGTAGCAAATGGCATTTACTGCATCTAAAAGGAGACTTATATATCCTAAGTGCTTCATCTAGCCTCTTAAGCATGCATCATGATTTGTCACAGAGCAGGGGTGATCCTGCCGCGTCATATCCCAAGTCCTTGATAAGCCTACTACAACATCCAGAGCGTGGGAGATCCTATCGTGTCACAACCCAAGTCCTGATAAGCCTATTACAACAGATGCCCACATCTGTAATCCTTTAGAATACAAACAGTATAGGACATTCCACTGTACTGACCCACCGGAGGTGAGAAACCAGACCCTACAAACTCACCAGCATCTGTGTGATGGGATGTGGCAAGTCCTATGAGCAACCAGGCCATCCACCTTGAGCACAGCCTTCCTCATGCTCAAAACTTGCTAAGATTGTTTTTAGAAATTAGTTCATTTTCCTCAGATCAGAGAAGGGTCTCACTGTGAGCTTGTGCTTGCTTCTTCCAGGAACCTGCCCACACCCTCCCGTCAGTGTCCTGACCCAGTTTTGGATGCAGTCAGCCTCCAGGGTGCCCAACACGTGCCGTCTGTGGGAGCAAGGGATGTTCTTTGCCACGGCTCTTCCAGCGAGCTCCAACTTGAATTTCTCATGGTGTCTGCAACTGCACATTTAAACCACAGCAGACAGCAACAGAAGAACTTGAAAACTCTGTGCAACTGGGTCCTGAAATGCCACCTAGTTTTCTGAAAAGTCACCTATTAGCCCTTGTTGCTAAGAAGGCTAACAATATTCTTGGATGCATTACAGAAAGGACTGTCAGCAGATCAAGAGAGCTCAAGAGCAGATCAAGCCTTCCTCTACTCAGCACTGGTGAGGCCACAGCCGGAGGTGGGTCGGAATGTGGGCTTCTCAGTAGAAGAGAGACATGAACATAACAGAAAGAGTCTTCCTGGACATTTTCAGAAGCTGCCTCAGTGTGGTCTTGGGCAGCCTGCTTGAGGTGACCCTGCTGACGCTGAAGCAAGGGCAGGGCCAGGAGGACCCAGAAGTCCTTTCACACCTCTACCATTCTGCGATTCCACACACTTCATGAAGTGAAGCCAGAGTAAGAGGAAGAAATTTAACAAGCCACACAGCAGATCCAGAGTCATCTGTGTTCCCAGGAAAACTTCTTATGGTCGGAGGAGTCTTTAACCATCCTCAGTCCTATAGCAGTGTCTTAATAAATACATATATATCAGCCAACGTAATTCTAAAAAAAAGGCTTTTAACTAGAACAGGTATGAAAACTGTAATGAAATAAAAGATAAAACTTTCAGGGACTGTGCATAGACAGAGGTCAACTATCTACAAAAACACAACAGAAGGTAGTGAAAATCACTGTCAGCAGTGCCTTTAAGTAATCACTAATGCTCTTCCTATATATACTCAGGTGAAATCAGATCACAGGCTGAAATAGTCATGATTTCACTGTTCACACCCAAAGTAAACAACTTAAGACTCCTCAACAATCTTGCAAATCTTTCATCTCTGAAATTACCACTGTGCTTTCTCTGTAAAAATAAGCACATTACTAAAAAGGAATTAAAAGAAAATGTCCTTCCTCTGATGTATAATGGATGACATTTTTCTGCAATGGAACACCAGCTTGGCACAAGAAAAAAGAGAAAGCAATGTAATTGTGTAGACAAGATGCAGATAAACTTACTTGGTATAAACTAACTGCTCATAAGCAATTCAATATAAGTGTGCTGTAGTTAAAAACTCCAGAACTCTGTCTCTGTGAAGAACTCTCACTAGGATTAAGAATTTGCATTAGTTATGCTTCTGGGAAAATCTAGCAATGGAAATGACCTAAAAATATGTGCAAAGCCATAGAGGGCATTTGTGGCTGAGTAACTACATGCTTTCCATGTGCTCTTAACACACTCAAATCTTGAGTTATCATTTCTGCAATTAGAATAGTAGTAAAACAACCTGCTCCAGCCATATCTAATTAGTGAATAAATGTAAATGCTTTCACACCATCTTTCACTGGAAATTCTTACTTCTAACTTCATATGCTTCAAGTTTATGTGGGTATAAAAATTGGATTTAACCATATTTTCCTGAGACATTTTTATCCTTTTATTAGTTTTAGTAGTTTGATAATGTGATTTGCAACTTGCTTTCTTTAAATGAGCTTTTAGTACAGAATGCAATTTAATTTGAGGAGAATTACTGCCTGTTTTCAACAATTACATAGGGGGAAAATTCACTGTCAAGATGGTGATGATTTAGCTAGGTATTAGATAAGTTCAATATGATAATACTTAGCTCAAGTGTAGGAGTATACAGTAAAATTTACACTGGGTCTGGCCATTTGAATGAGCTGAAAGCACCATTCAATCCAATATAGGATTACACATGCCTACAGTAAGCATTTATGTACTGCCTGTTTGAAGTTACCAACACACTTTTGTGCTCTCCTTACATAGCAGGCATTCTCAGTGTTACCACTATCCGCATAACCCTGGGTATTTCCTGTTTTCTGTGTTTTGCTTATAAATAGGTACCTGAAGTTACGACACACAGATGAAATAATGTTCTCCTTGTGTAAGTGTACCTCCCTGTTTCACTGACTATACTGTCCTGTGTCTTTTCATTTTCACGTTCTCCATCTATCTTACTAACATGCTTTCTTTCACCTGCAACAGAAATGATGAGAAATCTCAGGGAAATAGTCATTTTAAAATGCACCTGAAGTGCTGCAAAACAATGAGGACCATCCTTGTTCTGTTAATGTTCAGAATGGTTTCAGTAGTAATACTGTTGGGTTCTAACTGGATGGATTACTGTATGTAGTTGGCATGCTTTGTTGAAGTATTTGTCTGTAATCACCTAAAGCACCGTGTTCCACCATTTCCAGGCATTCAGTGTTATGAACATTAACAAACACAGGTCTTTCACATGAACTGAGGAGAGCTATATCATAAATTAAAAGTGAATTAATATCAATTTCTTGTAACCACTAAGGTAACTTTAGCAGACTGGCTATCTGATGTCAAAGAGAAAAAATACAAGGATGTCTGTATACTGGAAACATACAAATCTTGCAACCTTGTGTTCTGCTATGTCAAACACTGTGCTAGTCAAAGACTCATCAGTTTATGCTGAAAAACAGATCCCATGTTGCTCAATGAGAACATTTTAACCTAGCAGTGGGACAGCCCAAAGACTCCTTGGAAAAACTGGGTTTGGAATTGTGCCCTCTGCACAGCACTGCACTGTGTGGCAATCACACACGGGCCCCAACTCTTTCAACTAGATTTCCTGTGAGAGTAACATTCACTTCTTCCTTGCAGAACAGAGGGAAAGCTTTATACTCCAGCCTGACAGCAGACCTGCAGGCATGCTGTGTGTACCACAGGCGTGCTGCTGACTCTGAGCAGTCCTCCTCCTCCTTCACTGACTTCTTTAGCTGCTTTTCCCATGGTGGTTTACCACCCCTAAAATCAGCTCACTCCCTTCTTTGTGCAGACGAGTCTGCCTTTCCAGCAGTGAAAAATCTCCTCTTACCTCCCTCAGAAATAGTCAATTCTAACACAGAGAGAACTAAGACATTTAAAAGAAAGGTTGTACAGATCACTTTCTCCTTGGTCATGAGTCCAGTCATTTGGTCGATGGAGGGAGAAGTGATGTATTTTGAGCAGAGAGGACTGAAATGAGTTCATCGGGCCATAACCATAAGCTGGTGGGTTGATAGCTTGCTTTTGTTTCTTTGGGGGTTGTTTTGTATTTGAAAATGATACTTCCAACTTGTGACAAGCTTGAATAATGGATCACTGACAAGAGATAAAGCTTAACGTGCATGGGGACTGAGTTTCCACAGGCTACAGCTGCTCATATTCTTTTTCTTAGTCTCCCCCTGTATTCTGCTGACTCTGCCTCAGCAGACTACAGATAAAGAGAGAATGTACAATAAAAGATCAAAGGAAGTATGGCTCAATTTACCTGCTCCTCTCAGAAATTAGATTTTTCAAGGCACGGCAAGCCTGTATACTTTTTTTTTTCCAGCTGACAAAAGCAGGAGTTGCTGCTGGTAGTTCCAAACTGCAAAAAGCACACTCACAATTATTATTTTGGAGGATGTGAATGGACCTTCTCTGTGCCATTTGATATATAAATTTAATTTACAACACCCTGTTGCCCAAGTCATCAGGTATATTTTCATTAATATTCCAGTCAACAACAAAACACACACAAGTGAAACAGGTGACATTTCCTGGGTTTACTTATCAAACAGTACAGAGAGGACAAAATCAGGAAAAGAGTGATACATGCAACACAACTGATTTTGTGAAAAACAGTAAATGTTTTTTGTATGTCTCCTTAAAAGTCTGCACCATGCTTTTCCCATAATAAAATTAATACAGGGATTCCATCCAAGGAAGGAGGCAGCTTTCACTGAATGTTTGCTATTTACTAAACAGCCTAGAAGCTGCATTTCAGAATAGCTTCGGTTTACCTAGACTTGATCAGACACATTTATGCCTGAAACAACCCAAAAGCTTCGCTACGGAGTACACAAGTACACGTACTTCGTGAGGGTTACATGTAGCTGTTTACAACACAGCAGCTATCAGCCTCTTCCTACTCCTACTGGAGAAGAAAAACTCAAGTGAAGATTTATATACTTTTATGTTGTAAAAATAAACAGAGTAGACATCTGAAATCAGTGGCAAAATAATGCCTAGCAAGAATTATAACAGTGCCTGCACCCAATGCTCTGGAGGTCAGGAAGGAAAGCTAAAGATCCTGAAGAATGTTTGGCCATTTTGTCTATCAGAAGCTATAGATTTCAAACAAACATGTATATGTACCATCTGAAGCTGAACCAAAAATAACTGTGATTCTGTGATTCTGTGATTCTTAAGGAGTTTTATAGCATATTCTGCAAAAATAATAATAATTTTAAAAAAAGTTAAAATTCTAGAAACTTGTTTCTATTAACATTACTCTATTCTCTTCCTAAAAAACAAGATTTAGTCCCAACTCCTGCTCTTATTTTTCCCTTTCTGTTGTTGTTAAGAATATTGTTCATAAGTATGAACAATATCTAGGCTTTAAATTCTCATATGGTACTAGTGCATTTTTTTGTCCTCTCTTCTTTCTTCCCTTTCTTTTCTTCCTCTTCTATTTCAGGGTTCTATTATTTCTAGGGAAAAAAACAGAAAATTTTGAAACAACATTTTTAGAAAAAATATGAGAAAGATCCAGGCAACAAGAAACAACATATATTAATCTTCATTGCTTTAAATGGGAAAGAAGAGGATAATGGACAGTAATACCAGCGAGAAAAAAAGTTCATGTGTTCCACCTGTCATAAACCTAAATGAAAAGTATTTTGGATAGCAGAGAAACAAAATGTAAAGGCTATGTTGAAAAGAAGTGGAATGGAGTGTTCAGCTACAAAATGCACTCAAGTTTCTGTGCAGGCTAACTGTGTGATTTGAATTCATGAATCTTTGGTTTTGCGGGTGAGAGAAAGATACTTAGCTCCACACCAGAAACCCATGCAAGTTTTGTCGTAACACTCCTGTCCTAATCACCAGCTCTTTAACCACGACCTATAAAAAAATCTCCAAAATACCCTCCCAAAAATAGGGTCTTGGACTAGATCTGGACACTTGAGGCACAGACTAATCACGTCCCTTGTACAGCTTCAGAGTAAATCAGGTCCTGACCACAAAATCTCCAAGGGAGTCCCATCAAACCTGAAATTCCAGAGATTTTCCATTTGTATTCTTTTTGATCTGAAATTTTTGTTTCTCTTTGTGTGCTGCCACTAAAAAAATGTAGCCAGGCAGAGGACAATCCAGGATCTCTGGATGGGTAAAAGGCAGCTTCATTTGCCATGGAAGCAGAAACGAGACCTCAGCTCTCCTCTGAAACATACAAGTAGCAAATATTGTCATCCTAGCCACATTTGGTATTTGGCTTCTTGCATAGATAGAAGCATCCTAAGGATATGTATCACATCTTATGATCCTGATATTTTCTGAAGAGCCTTAGACATTTGGAAGATTTGTAGAGCCCAGAGAATATATGTCTATCTTTCCAAAAAGTGCTGAAACATCCCCTGAATGAGATGTTGAGGAGAGAAAATCTCCTAGAATGAAGTCTTCTCCTGCTTCCATTTTCTCCAGTTATGGCACACCTCTTGGTGAGCTGACCTTTCCTTGATCAAACCCACCTGACTATTTAGTTCATTCATTTATTTAATATGACCCCTCTCCAGTTACCCTAGTGAACACCACACAACTTTGACTTACCAGCAATTTGCTGGGACCTACTTCACTCCAGCATCCAAGCAGTATGAAACAAAGAAAGATATTATCTCCTGAAGTGGGCTGGTCTTTCAGTGTTTACTGTTATCTGCAGTCATGACCTTGACCATTAAATTGTGACACTGTCTGTTTTGAGTAAACACCTTTGATGTATACAATTACAATTTTACCTCGGCCACTCCATGTTGTATAGCACGACTACGAATTCCCTTCAACAAACACAGTCTACCCTCAGGTCTAAAGGTTCTACTTTGATAACAGTCTGTGCTGTGATTTTATTATTGCATAAATCTCAGCAGCCACTGACTCTAGGTGTTCCTTCTCACATCTCTCGTGCACTAGCATTCATACTAGCCATATTAAGGAACTTAACGTTTGCATGTTTTTCTTCTATACTCATTTGAAGCATGTTTGAAAAAGGAGTACTTCCCTGGTAGAAACTTATAACTTCCTCAAAGTCTAAAGCTAGCTCTAAAATGAAAAAAGGAGGTTGAGAATAGTAAGTAAAACCACTTTTTGCAGTAGACCAGATCCACCTAATTGTAGTGACTGTATAGACAATATCTTGATTACCCTAGCTTAACACAGCATAACTAAGATGAAAGAGAACGGAATCAGTACCCTGTGTTCTCAGAGAGCCCGCAACAGGGCACCATTTTAGTTGCAGCCCTGATCTTGTTTCTCCACTGGTTTATACATGGATTTTTCAAAGTAGCAATAGTCTAAAAGGATAAGTCAAATCTGAGAAAGACCGCCAGATACTTGCAAAATGGTAAATTTTTGCAATGTTTTATTTCCCATAAGTATTAATTTCAATTAAGGTTTTCAGAGCTGCTTCATAGTTGCATGGGAACTGCTGAGTCACGGCCTGAACCTCTGATTGATCACCTGAGGCGAGCCATGAGCCAGCCAGAGGAGCACAGGTGAAGGCAATTCAGCTGTGCTGCCGGAAGGGGTGGAGCCAGGCTCCACCCCTCCTGGACCTATTGAAGAGCTGGCTGCCAGTGGGGAAGGGTCTCATCTGGAGATCACCTCTGCTGGTGTTCTGTGAGTGAGCCCAGGATGGGGGTAAGCTTTCTATCTATTCTCTTTTGTTATCATAGTCTGCTTTGCCAAACTCTTTTGTTTATTTTGTGATTATAACATCCTAATATTCTTTGATTATACACCAGTTATGGCTCCAAAACCATGGTTTTTCAGAAGCTATGCTAAGCAACCCCCACAAGAAATTCTAAACCAGTCTGCACCAAAGCAGCCGTACATTTGCAGTGAATAGCCCTGGCTTTATACAATGCTGCTTAGAAGCAACTACAAACACCAATGTGTTATGAACATGTTTCTCTCCCAGAACCAAACAAGCTATACCAGACACTCCAAAGAAAGCAATTCTGTCCTAGCTGAAACTAAGACAGAAAGAAAAGAACACAGAGACAAAATAGACTGCTACAAGCACTTGAAGCTGGCTTTGCCAATCTCAGCTATCTTGCTGTGGAGCTACAGTAGTTTAACCAGCACTGTGTTTTTCACTGAGTTCTTAAGTGTAGATAGAGAAAGAGGAAAAACACATAGCAGGCAACAGCCACTAAGAAAGGATATCTGACCAGCTACATTTCATGGCAGTTCAAAGTAATTTTCTTATCTACTTTTCCTCACATAGAGCCTGCAAGGAAGTAATCACAAACGTCATTTTCAGTAGACATATACTTTACCAATTCACTTTCAAAAGAGAGAGAATTCACAGTTTGGCTTCCTACTGTTTGTTGATTTATTTTCATTTTTTTATTTTTTAACACAAAAGAAAAAAAAAAAAAAGAAGACAATTCCATTAACTCGTGAGGAGTAAAGAAAACTGTGCTGCAAAGTGTAACACTGTGATGAAGTCATTTATACACAGAGAAAGAGCCAGTATATGAAATGGTACTTTTACCTCTGCGTAAGTGTAGAGCACCTCTCAGGGTAGAGATCCATTTTGATCCTCTTTGACACAAAGGTATCTATTCAAGTTCTGAAAGAGATAAGGAAGAACTACTTCAAAACTTCTGCATCCAAGCTAGTCAGGCAATAAATTTCTCTGTCTAAAATATCTAAACCTCAGAAAATCTGAGTATTTTAAACTCTAAAAGAGGTACTAAGTAATCTTCTGGAAAAAGCTGGCATGTATCTGAGTTGATTAAGGAACAGTTTCAAACTCCAAACAGAATCTAAAAATTATAGCAAGAACTTCCAGCACTTCCAATTTAAGGCAATAATACTTTTCAAAAAGTGTCTACTTGCTATTCCTAAGATTGCCTGGACAAGGAATTTATTTACAAAACACTATTATCCTCTTTTCCCTTTTCCTTCAAAAAATGGAAAATATGTCCCAGAACATGAAGTCTAACAAGCATATACACTTACATCATGGACATCTGCATCTATTTACATGCAAAGAGAGCATCCTTAGATAAGAACTGCAATCACCTGAACATACGGCAAAGCCACAGGCAAAACCCCATTGAAAAGCAATGAAGATTGGTAGAAAATAGAGCAGTGCTCTAGGGAGTTTTGCAATGTGGACAGCCTGTCAGTGGCAAAGACAGTCTGAACTCACAGGAGCAGCAAAGGTGTCTAGTATACCAGTCATAACAATAAAGCTATAACTAGCTTGCTGATGCAAGGTTATTGGCATGAGGGCTCAGTGTAGCCCTAAACTTAAGCATATGTCAGCTGCTGATGGGCAAAGAAACGATGCAGACTGAAGGCACCACTGAAAGCTGAGCACCTCTCAACTTACCCTGCACCCTCTCATCAAATCCATCAGGACCAAACTATCTATCCCCTTGGACTGTACTTTATCACTCCAACAGTGATGGGACCAGATGGCAGAACTCAGGCATTTAAAAACTGGAGTTATCACAGAAAAGTTTGCAGTAGTAAAACATCTGGAGAGCAAAGAAATGCATAGGGAGCAATAAATAACATTGCTTACTTTTTTTTTTTTTAATTCTTCCAAACATAAAACTTTTATTTTAGCATTCAGCTCTCATGCAGCATCTGCTTTGGAGCCCAGACAAACATTATGGAATTTGTATAACTCCATCAACAGCTAAACTGTACTCAGAATTGACAGTTCAGTGGAGCAGTTGTGAAAGAAGTCACAGAAGTAGGAGCTCATTCTGACTCCTTGGGGCTCTGTGTCTGAGATTATGGACTCAGGAAAAAAAACAAAAAAACTCTTGTCATTGCCTTGCATATTTTCTTGAAAGGTGCATGTCCAATAAATAGAAAACAGATGCTGCTGAATATTTTACAATTTTTCTCACCCCCTTAGCTCCACAAATGTTTTATAATTAATGGGACTGGGAAAAAAATACCTTTCTGTTCCTGTGTTTGGCTTTATATAATGCCCAAAATATATTTGTGAGAGGTAGATTGTTTATGAAGTGGAAGTTTCCAGTGTTCTCTGTATGTAGTGTAGACCCCTTCTGAACTTATAACCTTCCTGTGAAATAGTTATATATGCTATTGCTCATAAAGAAAGCTTCTAAATAGAGTAAAATTAAGAATGGGGAGTTCTGACTCGGAAGATAAGGAAAATATGCAGGATGGGGTAAGCCTAGCACAGGACAGCACAGGGAGTGCCAAGCACAGGACAGAATGGATGTGCTAACTTTCAAAAATTGCCCTCCTATCTTCAGTATTGCAGCAACAGTGTCGAGAAGTCTGTGAGCCTGCGACACTCAACCAATGGGCACCACGTGAGGCATTACCTGCATCAGGTTTAGGGTATACAACTGCACTGACTGGTGTACTTCTCCCTTGCCAGTAGGGGGGAAGGGGCAATTACTGCAATAATTAATAAACTTTGCTGCTATCACTAAGATCTTTGCCTAACTAGAAATCTTCAACTCACGCAGTGACAGAAGTTTAACATGTACAGTTACTTTCTTGAAGCAAGCAAACAAAAAACTCACAGATCTAACTGGAAATTTGCTGAATAAAGGGGTGAATACAGAAGAAGTTGAGCTTCATGTCAATCACAACATTATGATTTCACAGCATTGCTACTTTAAAGTGATAGTAAAATGACCAAGTGAACAGAATGGAAATGCTACTGGAAAAATCTCTAACCACTGCTAATAATGTTATGTGGCTGAAAAATAGCATTTATTGTCTCCGTTTATTTTCATTTTGTTCACTTCTGACTCTTTCTTCATAGTCTTCCCCTTGAGACTCCCTTTGACTTCATCAAATGCTATCTTCCAGAAACAACATCCTACCTAAGCACAGAAAAGAATTACGTCTTGATTTTGTCTACATTCAGAGGCGGGTTGTCATGAATGCAGGGAAAGTATTACTGGGAGGCCAACCCTCACTGTTTCTCCATTAGAGATCAAGGAAGTCACTTCTCAGACAAAGCCTGAAGTGTTAATTTCCTGCAAATGTCCTTCACAATGGCAGTTAATGGATTTATAGACACTGATGCATTTCATACAACCTGAGTTTTAGCCCATCCATTTCCGCAAGGCTGGATGAGCAGAAAACTTCAAACTTCAGCAGATATGAAACTGCTGAGTGGCACAGAGATACAAGAGACAAGAAAAATTAACAATACTTCCTTTTCTTTCCTCTATAAATGTATTGGCATGGACACTACTGATGTCCATCTTAAACTCTATCCTTCCTAAGGATGACAAGATCACAGAATCCATGTTGTTCGAAGGGGCCTTGGGAGGTTCGTGGGGAACGCTCCCACGCAAAAGCAGGATCAGCTTATAAGGACAGACCAGGTTGCTCCGGCTTTTGTCAATGTGAAGTCTGAAGCTCTCCAATCACCACAGTGAGCAAAACAGAGCCAAACAGAGTTACTAACAGACCGGAGCAGCGAGAACTAAAAGCAAAAGGAAACCACCTTTCCCTCACCCACCTTTTCTCTTCCCTCTGAGCGCTGCAGGGGAACATAGGCTGCAGTCAGCCTGTAACCCTAGTCCCTGCCACCCACGGTCACTCGCAGCCCCGCTCCACGTGGGTCCCTCGTTCGTTCAGGAATGCCTGAACGGATCCCTAGTGGGCTCCCCACAGCCTGCAGCTCCCCGAGCGCTGCCCCAGCCCGGCTCCACACACGCGGCCCAACGTTCAGGCACCGCTTCGGCGCGGTCCCCGGCGGCGGCAGCTCCCCCGGCCCTTCCGCCGCACCGCGGACCGCTCTCCCCAGGCCGCCTCCCCAGGCCGCATCCGCTGCGGCATCGGCAGCTCCTCCGTGGCTGCGCGGGGAGATGGACTCCGCGCGATGCCCGCGGGCTGCAGGGGAACAGCCTGCCCCACCACGGGCCTCTGCTGGCCTGCAGGGAGCTGCTGCTCTGCACGTGGAGCACCTCCTCTTGCACTAACTCGGTGCTGTAGGGCTGCTTCCCTCTGGTTACTCGGCCCTCTCTCCCAGCTGCTGTCACACAGCAGTGTTTCCTCCCTTAACTCTGCTCTCATCCTCATTTCTGCATGACGGCGGATTAAATTGAATAGCCAGACATGAGCTTAAAACCTGAACATCAGGGTGTGATATTAAACTATGCAAAACTATTTAAGAAAATAAAACATCTCCATCAGTACTTGGCTGTATGAGAACACAAGAACATAGGAATACAAATATGAGAAACTTGCCTTCTTTTTCTTATATATACCACCAATTAATAGATTATAGTAAACCTTAATGAATGTATGTAGTGAAGATGTCTTAACTTCTGTCTGACCTTTTTTCTAAAGCTTTGAGAGCAGTCCTACAAGTACACAGGAATGACAGGTAGTCTTCAGAGACAGTGCTTTTTCACCTTTTACAGATTTCCATAAGCACTGAGTACCCATTCTGTTTTTGGTTTTCAAAAAATTCTTCCCTGTCAGTGAATAACGACTGTCCTGAAAACAGATACCCATGGAAATTAATACATCACATTTAGCCCAGTTTTCTTCCAAGATATTTTTTAGTGTCAGGCAATAGTTCCGTTTTAATCAAATGCTGTTTCTCTCCTGTAATTTAATTTCAAATGCAGCTGTCCATCTAGTTCACATGCAGATCATTACACCTTTTAATTTTTAACAATGCTATTGGGCTGGATGCATGAAAAAAATAATGGGCAGAAATCTTTCTTTCTTGTGGTAATGAAAAGACTGTCTTGGCTATACATTTTTAATTCATTTTTTAAACATTAATGCTTCTGAAAAGAACAATTAGGCTCTGGTTAATCTTCCCAGGTGCTTGGCTAGACAATCACATCTTGAAAAACACAAGCGTTGCTCCTACAGCAAGTGCACAACTTCAATATGTGCAAACATAAGCTAGTAAAAACCTATTCTTTCAGCATGGCTGGTTATATATGCCAAAATGTATTTATGAATATCTACCCAGCTCCTGCCCATCTTTTGCTAGTCGTCCATAAAAGGCTGTTGTAAAACTTAATCACTAATTTGCATCACAGTATGCACACTCCGCTTGATAAATATGAAAATTTCAAAACAAATTGGGAAAAAAGGCCTGGAAAAAAAGCATGAATATACAACTACAGAATTGTTCAGTGTTTTGAATTTCAGAATTAAATGTTTTAATGCAAGGAATTACTAACCAGGTCCTATATTCTCTGAAGATAATTAGGAACCTGGCTCTCGCTGATTTTAATGGGATATAGCTACCTAAGAGTCTCTTAACAATTATTAATACTGTGGCATTGCAGTATGTGCCAGATATGACTTACATTTAACACAGCATGGCTTTGATCTTAAAAGAAAACTGCAGGCATTCTGCAGTTCACCTATGAGAATAATCAGTCCATTGTGCTGCATCTGGTTGAATCTGCAAATTGACAAGAGAGAATATCTGACATAATATGATACAGGAGAGCAGTTTAGTGAATTGCTGAAGGGGGGATGCAGGAAATAGACCAAGTGAATGAAAAGTAAAAGAAATAAGGATCAGCTCAGGTGAAAAATCACAATAATTCCAACAGAAGTCGAGAAAATAGCTGAAACTGGCTCAGATTCATCAATTATCATGAGAGAGTATATGTTATTGAAGAAACAACAAAGCGGTCATTTCATTTCCAAAGAGCAGTCAGAAGTCTGCTTTTGGCACAGTGCTGGGAGATTCAATAAGAATTAAATTTTAGGAATTATTGCATTCTGTTATTTTCTTCTTGAAAGGTAAGAAAAGGTTGTTCTCATGTAAAGAATGGATTTTAAATTGTTGGAAAGGGTCATCAGCAGCTCTTTGAAAAATTGATTCCAAATATTATTCTTTTACTGTTGAATAATAGAAACAGTAATGTCATAAATGCTATCCTAAGTTTGACAGGTCTTCTGCAGGATGTGTTCAGTTTTTGAAGAGATTTTATCTGCACAGTAAAACTCAAATAACTTCATCATGCTTAGCCACTTCAAAACAAAAAATAAGGATGAGCATAGGATGCAAGAAGCAGAATTACATATCTATCCTAGTAGGTAGAGTAACAGGATAAGAATCAAAATATTTTATTAGCTTTGTACTGGATTATCGGTAAACATTTGAGACTGGTGACAAATGTAAAACAGTT